CTTCTACTCCGCTCCATCTTCACCCGCGCCCCCGTCTCCTGCCCACTCCTTTGCCCTCGCCAAGACACTACTTCAGCCTTACCCACGCACCGACCCAGCCTCCTTACTGCCCCACCCCAGTCCAAGTCCCGGCCGTAACCTCGGCACCCCTGCCCTCCCGGTTCTACCCTACCCTGTCTCCGCCCTCACTCCACCCGTGCCTCTGCGGACTCCTGCCCCGCCCACCCCTCACCCCCCTGATAGCCTCCAGGCAGGCGGTGACCGAGCACCCAAGAGCCGGGAGGTCGCCGCCGTCGGGTCACGGGGACATTCTTGCTGCGGGTATATATACGGAGCAACTCGCGCAAACACGGCCGGCCGGAAATAGATTACTACCCCAGAGCCCCAGTTCCGAGGGTGTTGCGAACGCGCTTACGAGTAATACGCCGAGAGAATGGTGGGTGAGTTACTCACAGAGTTGTGCACACCATGTAAGAAAAGTTTGGAGTGCATTTTGCAAAATTGCAATGACAGTTTTCGTGATTGTTGTTTTGAGAAAGTTCCAAGAATTTCCGACAGAGAATTTTGAAGAAAAAATATACATAGAAAATATTTGGTGTTTTTGAAAGTAATATTTATGATCAGAATTTCACTTGTAACATATTCACAACACAACACAACATATTCTCCTATTTAAATTATGCGACATAGACTTGATATTTACCTTAACTCTATCACATTATAAAACTGAAATAATGACATGGGATCTCAGACTGAGTTAAAAGTAAAATTGAAACCTCTTACATTGCTATTTCAATTAATGAGTTTGTTTTCTAGATGATAGATTAGATATGTTTATTATTTCTGTAGATAGGTTTATACATCCAGGTAGCAGAACACTGCAATTAACATACTACAATTAGGAATATTGATACAATTTAATTTTATGTCATTTTAAGACAATAATTACAGTAATAATAATAATAATATAAAAAATAAAGCCAATAATAACATTAATTACATTTTATGACTGTTCTGCACAGATATTTTAACTGATAAGTACACATTTTAAATACACTGCACTTCATTTTACCTCACCACACTTGCACTTCACTTCTCTTTCCCTTCTCCATTGCACTACACTTCACAACAAGTCACGACACTCCAATTCAACTACTATTTTGAATATAATTGTATATTTTATAAAGCAATGCATTTAATATTAATTTACACAATACTAATAAAAACTATGCCGATCCGGTGGCCGAGATCGCTAATGCAGTAGTGCTGTAGCGAGCTCGTACCGAAAGATCATGGGTTCGAGTCTCGCCTCGGGCATGGTTGTATTGTGTTCGTCCTTTCACCTCCTATCATCATCATCATCATTATTATCATCATATCAGGGAAGGTAACGGGAAACCACCCGGAATAATTAATCCCAAGAAAACCCGTTATGGGTCACCTAACTTCCGTATATGGAAGATAGGACCAAAGAAGAATAATAACTATAACAATAAAATAATAACTATTTTAATAAGCCTAACTTACTCATTAATAAATTGTATAAATGTCCTTGGTTAATCTACTTTTAAAACTTTGTACACCTAGAGGAAATGGTTTCATGGCTATCACAGGCAACGTATTCCAGTCCGCTATTGTTCTATTTGTGAAGGTAAATTTTCCGACATCTGTTCTCTGAGGTCTGAATTGAATATTGTGCTTGTGTTCCCTTCTACTAAAGTAAGTGGGTATATCAAGTCGGATGAAAATATTTTTCAAAGCTGTATAACCGGCATACGCTTTGTACTGGGCGCAGTGTCTTGCCTAAACCCTCCTGATTTCTTGAGACTCACGTTCTACTTTCTTCCTATTGCTGCGCAACGTAAGTTTACACGCTCTTCTTTGTACTCTGTTCAAATATTCCTTTTGTGAATTTCTATAAGAGCCCCAACAAATCGCCGCACATTCCATTAATGGAGGAACAAGAGTTAAGTTAGCTAATTCTCTCTCTTTTGCCGTACTGTTTTAGTATTTACATAGTAAAATGAAAAAAACCTTCAGGCTTTCCCTAGGACAAAGTTTACCTGATTTTCCCAAATCAATTTGCTATCAAAAATTATTCTCTGGCATTTACAAGACAAGACGCTTGGTAATTTTCGTTGCCTAAACGGTACTGAGTTTCAATATATATGAGGTCCCTACCAATCGTGAGATTTTTGCTTTTTGAACTATTTATTATTACGCTATTTTATAGCTAATCTATCTAGATCACCTGCCCCTCTGATTTACCCTATTCGTAAGCTGCTGCCTCTCGAATCCAACACGACGCTCCAGTCCTCTTTTACTTCCATCTTGTTCCCTCACCTGCCTTATATTTCCTTCGCCCTCTCTTCCTCTCTTCTATTCTTCGTTCCACTATTATAAGCGCCCACCTCTCCTCTTCAAATCTTCAATTTGTTTCTTAGTACAATTCTCCACTTAGCCTTTCTGTTTTGTCTTTCTTCAGTCCTAACCCTTCCTGCTTCCTCATGTATCTTTCTAATATTCACTATCACGACTCATTTTTTTCAGTTGATCTCTGAACTTCAATTCTTATCTCATGCTTACCGACAGAGGTGGCTCAGGGCATCAACTGATGTCACTGAAGTGTCTTTGATCGGGACATCCTAGTTTCGAGTCCCGACGGTGGCAGGATTTTAGACACTAGCTAGATAGCTAGGTCGAGTTCAGACGCTGCTTGGAGAAACATTCTTCCTGACCGGCTGCTCTGATCAGTACTTTTCCGTAGTTTCCCCGATCAATGCCAAGTGAATGCCGAAGCAGTACCCTTAACAAACAAGCGTCGGATCGCGAGCGAAGGTTCCTTCTCATTCCTTGCCTTTACACACACTTACACTTGCCTGCAGTACAATACCACACATGTCGGGAGGCCGACCAGGAACATAGAGCTTGCCCCGGCTGGGGCGGTGCCTCGCGAGGGGAAATACCTGCTGGGGGAAAACTTCGCTAGGCGCAGTAGGTCGGCGCCGGATCACACCATCTAGCGGGGTAAGATCACGACCACCCCGAGGATAAACCATGCACTATACATATAGGACTAATGACCTCGTCAGTAGACGTGCCCGGAATCACCCAATCAACCAAACAATCATTATTAATCAAATATTTCCTCGTGCCAAATATTAGTTCGCTTCCTTAACACTGCCAGGACGCATTTGTACAATTGTCATTTCTTAGCCTAGTGGTATCGGATCCCCTAAACAACCCTTCACTTGCCGTCCTTACTTGCCCTCTAGCTACGAACCTTACACAGCTATTCTTGCCGTCTCTGCGCCTCGTCCACCTCTATATCCGCCTCGTTATATGCCCTTCTTCATTATTCCTTAACTTATTTCTCCTTTTTTTCGTTCTGCTCACCCCTTTTTCCACTTGATCTTATCCTTTCTTACGTCTCATTTTTGTCACAACTCGTCTCCGCTTTGTGGCACCCGTTATCGCCTCTCCTTCCCGACACTCAATTCACCACATTCTTCTCTGTTTTTCTATCCTTTCACTCCTTTCCTTCTCACTCCTTGTCGCCTCTCTTAACCTCCTACTATCGACTCTTTTCGTCTTTCCTCGTATCGTCTGCGCACTTCCCGTCACTTCAGCCTTTTTATTCCCGCTTGAATACCCTCTTCCCCCTCCGTTTACCAGTCCCCCTGGCTCCTCCTGTGGCACACTGCTCCACTAAACCATTTGCAACGCCATCCCGTGCATGCCCTCCACGCTGTCACCGCACCTCCTCCTTCTCCCCGCCGCTAGCCACCCCGCCCTTCGCCGCCACTTGGCCGAGGGCCCGCTTTCTTCATTATGTGCTGGGCGGACGCGCTGTAAGAAGGCAGCGCAATTCGACTACGCGCACAAGAACGGCGGGTTAATCCGCGCGCGAGGACGAGGAGAGTAACAAACACAGGCCCAGTCGGTGCGAGCGGTCGCGAAGCCGGGAGGAGAGAGGGGAGGCGGTGACGGTGGCGAAGAAAGGAGGCAGAAAAAGCAAACAGGCGGAAGGAAGAGAGTGTGAGAGTGCATGAGTTAGTGTAGGGTGAGTGTGTATGTAAAGGTAAGTTAGTGTGTGAATGTGTGTAAGTGTTTGTGAGTGCGTGAGTGATTGGGAATGTGCGAGTAACTGCGAGTATGTGTGTGAGATTTTGTGTGTGTGTGAATGAGTGAGTGTGGGTGTGTGAGTGTGTGTGAGTGAGTGTGTGAGTCAGCGTGTGTAAAAGTGAGTGAGTGTGAGTGAGTGGGTGTGAGTGAGTGGGTGTGTGTGGGTGGGTGTGAGTGGGTGTGAGTGGGTCTGAGTGAGTGGGTGTGAGTGGGTCTGAGTGAGTGGGTGTGAGTGGGTATGTCAGTGTGTTTGAGTGTGTGCGTGTGTGTGTGAGTGTATGTGTGTATGAGTGTATGTAAGAGTGTCTGTAACAGTGAGTGTGAGTGTATGTAAGAGTGTGTGTAAGAGTGAGTGTGAGTGTATGGGAGTGTGTGAGTGAGAGTGTGTGAGTGTGTGCGAGTGAGTGAGTGTGTGAATATGCTGTACTAAATATACTTGGTTTTCGGGCTCGTCAACAGCTAAGATAATTAGACGCGTGGGCGCAGTGGGCGTTATAGCCTCCAGGGGGCCATATTCTCGCAACCCATCTCGGAAGGACATTAATAGTTCACTGTCGTTTGTGTCAATAGATTTTGAGATACACTATTATCTTTTATCCTTATTTCTAAAAGTGTGTGGTGAAATGCATTTCCAGAGAATAAGCGTGCAAAAATATCTAGAATTGCAACATCTTTGCATTGTAATTTCCTTGACAAATGACGTCACGGACATGAGAAATAGATGCTGAAACATTCAGTCAGCCGTTGCATGGTCGTGTGACACAATGGAATGCTCTGTGTATATAACGTTTTTAGTTATTGTTTGTTTAGTTAGTGTATAAAGTGTTTGTGGAGCAATTAAAGATATAAGTGCAACAGAGATTTCCTTTTATTACATGCTTAACCTCGACATCATGATGCCAGAACGAAATTCTACATTGGCGGTTATCTCCTTTCAACAGCTGTTTCGAGAGCGGCTTCTGGCGGCTGGCGGCGACCTTTTCGAAGAGTGAGTTTATTATAATACGCTATTGTCTCTTGCATGCAAAATGATAATTGAACTCATTTGTACGAAATGTAACCCGTAGGTATGTTCTTGTTATATCCCATCGGTAGGTTTGTTTCACTCATTGCGTATGTTCTATCGAAATATCGTATAAAATAATAAGAGACCTAACGATGCTGTTTTTTTTTACTGTGCTCCAAACTGTAATCCTCCGAACGAAAACGTACACTAACGATACGTGTTATAACCCTATCTGAAATGTTAGTAATTTATGTTTTAGATTATTTGACGCCGTAAATACTACACAAACATGGCGAATATTAGTGTTCCAAATGACAAAAACGAGTAAAAGGAATCGCTACATGTGACATTTACGTGCTACATGTTAGCAATTTTCCATAAGCGCCATTGTGAGCAATGAAATCAGGAAGACAATCTGTGGCACGAAAGGAAAAAAAATGTTGAAAATTGAATGAAGTGTTGAACCTTCAGAACATTGAATTGTTACGGAATGAAGAATCATTCGTTAATTATCAATGTTATCAAATCCAATCTCAAACCACGTAGGTATCAACTTCTACACTATTTTTTAAATACTTACTACTTCTGCACGTAAGTGCATTGATAACGTATGTGTCTTTTGAAAGAAAATGAGGGAACAGAATAACTTGTTCTTTGCATATTTGACGCAAGACGTAGAAGTTGATTTCTTGTGTGAGGAGGATCACACGGTGTAGCGAGTTGATTTATTGTTTCATTTCGTAATTCAGTGCGTAAAAGAATAAGACCCGATTGTTTAAGTGTACTTTTAAATATGAATAGTGTTTGTTGTTTTGGCCTATCTGTAGTAACGGACAAGCGAGGGAATAAATACATTATTATGAATAATCTGTGCTACACAGTAGAAGGGAATGTGTCTATGTCGTCGAATATAGAAGCAAAACTAACTCAATTGATTTCGCTGATATTTTTCCACTTTGTTCTTATTAGTATCTGAAGTTCTTATTAATATCGGTTTGAATTAAATTGGACATGTAGAAGCGTTGTTTTTTTCACAGTTAATAGACGAGGTGGGCTCTATGCCGTTTTCAGAGGACCGTGCTTCAAGTGCTATCTATGAAAATATTGTTGAACTATATGCCTACTCCGACTCATAATATCGAATAATATGCAATAACTTGTAATCTAGGAAGCAGGAAGACTAAACCAAATGTTGGCACAACATTGTTCGAATATCTGATTTTTAATGTGCAGTGTAATTTAGTAAGGTGTTGTTAATACGTAGTTAATCGTAGTTAATTGAATAAATGGATTTTGAACTTGACTTGTGTTTGTTTAATACACTGTAACAGCGAAAAATTGCCGGGTCTGGTCCGCTAGTAGTGCTTAATGTCTTAGAGAACGGCGTAACCTCACACCGAAGCCTCGCAACAATTCGTCCTTCCGAGCTGACGGGTCTAAGTGCAGCGTGCACTCGATGGGCTAAGGGTGAGAGCAATAGCTCCAAAAAGCGCGTGGATTAAGCTCGGGCCGCTGCTGCTGCTGCTGCTGCTGCTTCATCGTCGGCACAAGAAGCGCTGCGTTTTCGGCGCATGTACACAACAAGCGCCCTCACCACGGACCAGGCGCCGCCCCGGGTCACGACTTCTGGGAAACTGTCTCGCCCTACGATGAGCATTTTGTCCCCAAGGTTACGAGCTTCCACGTGGATGTCAAATAGGAGTATTTGCTTCTGAAATGGTTAATAGAATTTGTGTAGAAATAAAATGTCGGGCGATGCAATATTAATTGATTTATAAACTACTGCAATGTATTCGTTATAAATAATATATATGTTAACATGTTGTAATGTTAGTTTTACTTCAGCCTAGTTTAATAAGATACAACTTCGATTATTTTCGTATAACGTGAAAAATAGTGAAATTAAGAGCCATGTGATAAGCTCAAATATCAGTTATTTGCTCTCTGAAAAAATATTTATTTCTATATTGATATCATCAATCAACAGAAATTATATTTTTTCATACACGCTTTAATTTTGTAATGTATTAAGACTGGGAAAATGTTTTTACATCTTTCAATTAAATTGCATGACCATTGCATTCGTACAGATTGCAGATGAACCTTCGAGATATTTTGCATTTCAGAAACTGACTCATCTTACAATTATTTAGCCTTCGGGGCTAGGAGCTACGCCGCCGTAGTCAAACGAGAAAAACGACTCCTAAAAATATGAAAAAAATGCAGTAATTATATTTGTAATGATTTATTAGTAGTGATTAGTATTTTTCGTGTATCTCAGTATAAATGTGTTTTTTTTCAATTATATTTCAATAACTTTTGTAATTGCATTAATTTTTTTTCTACATTTGATATGAAATAAAACGTAATTTCTAGTGTTGTAGACATTTTTATGTGCCATTACAAATCCACAAAAAAACATTAATTACCAATGGTTGTTTAAGCAAACCGAAAAAATATTTTTTTCATAAATGTAGTGTTTTAGTAATAATTTAATTAATAATTATTTACAAACAAAGTTATTACTTGAATTTCTTCAAAGTAATTATCATTTTTGAGTTTCAAACATTTGTAAGAACATTTTTTAACGCTTCATTCTTTTTAAATATTATCTCGAACACCACATAAATCATTTCGAACTTACTGAATTGTGGATAGAAAGTTCTATATTTCTCTTCTCAGCACTCATTTCAAGATAAAAATTTCCACACATTTAATTTACATTTAATCAACAACAGAACAGTTTCTTCTGTTCCCCAAAACTCTAGCAGCCAGACCATTTTATACAACCTACCGTAAGACCTCAAAAACCATCTCAATAATTTCCGGTACCGGGAAGCTCCAGACATCGCCACAAGCGCTTTTCCAGCTCGGTGGAGTACGTCTCCACCACAACAGCTGTAATCTGCACGCATCCGACGGCAGGCCCAACTTTGGCTCGGCGGACGGGAGTTCTTTTAAAAAGCAAATCCCTCGCTGCTGGCAGCGCACACGTTTGTGCCCCGCAGGACGCAGAAAGGCTGGAGCGCAGCGCGGCGCAGCGAAACGGAGCGCAGAAGCACGTGTAGAGAACGCGCGGGTAGCGGCGGCTTCCGACGAGGCACGTTAAAGCCTTTGGATATAATAAAATGGCACGTTTGTTTTTGTAAATTAAATGGTCCCCAAAATCTGTTGAAAAGATTTTAAGATAGTTTTCAATGAGAAATTTCCTGTATTCAAAAGTCTTATTACATTTCAAAGCGATTACAAAATTATAATTATAAAAATAAAAATCAGTTAAAAAGAATTTAAGATAGTTATCAATGAGAAATTTTCTGTATTCAAGAGTCTTATTGCATTTTTAAAGCCGTTAAACAATTTTAATGCCATTGAATTTGGTAGAATATTTAACAGAAGGCATATTATTTCAGGCAGTAGTCGGTATTCATTAATAAGGAAAAGTGAAATAATACACCTTAAAAAGTATATGGGATCAATATTAAATTTTCTTCGTGTAGAAAACTCAAAAAGTTGTGACTATAAATTATAACATCCAAGCCATTATTATTTTGTGTGGGTGGATTTCTTTTGAAGAGAAAATTCATGTACTATTCAACATTTCAAAGCGGTTAAACAATTTTCATGGCATTGAATATGGTAGAAAATTTAACAAATAGCGTAATATTTCAGGCAGTAGTCGGTTATCATTAATAAGAAAAAATGAAATGATAGACCTTAAAATAGTATATAGAGATCAATATTAAATTTTCTTTTCGTCGAAAACTCATACAATTGTGACTATAAATTCTGTCACCCAAGCCAATATTATTTTGTGTGGGTGGATTTCTTTTAAAAGGAAATCTAATGCGCGGTACGTTGCCAGCGCAGTAGATTTGCAGAACTCAGAAACGCGTGTGTAGGCACTCCTTGACGGAGAACAATAGAGCGGAATCGAGCGTAGAACAACGTGCAGCTGACGTGCAGTAGAGGATCTAAATGGCGGTCCTTGGAGTGACATTCAAGGCTTCGGATAAAATAAAAAGTCGTGTTAAGTTTTGTAAATAAAATTCGGTCATAAAATATCGCACCAAAATATTTTGAACCTTTTTTAAAAATGTCTTATTGTATATTTGTTCAATCTTCAGGGGTTGCGTATTAAATTCATGTGAATAGACGAAGTATATTTGAGACAATTCGTTATAATATTTAAGCCAAGACTATTTTGACTTTGAAAGACTCCTTTTAAAACGCATAGCTCGGTACGCTGCCAGTGTACTCGCTGTACGCGTCGCAGGAACACCGCTGTGCGCACTACTCGGAGCTGTACAACGAAGCGGAATCAAGTGCAGAAGAGCATCGGGTAAAGTGCGGTCGCCTAAGCGCTAGCACGTGGGGGGACACTTAAGTCTCTTCCGTTGAGAGACATTAAAGCCTTTAAACAGAATGAAATATAACGTTTCTTTCGATGGACATTTTCTGATGTGACTACGTCATGTGGAAAGACTTTTAAAAAAAATAGTTCCCAACAAGAACTTATATTTATTCGAAGAATAAAAAGTTACTTGAAGACTGGAATTACGTAGCTCGTAATTCCAGTATATTTAAGTATAGAAAAACTCTTTCCCCTATGACAGTTCTTAATACGAAATTGTAGACATAAAAATTACATGTCAACTTTCCATGAAGTATCGCCGTCATGAATTATTTTTAATTATTTTTCATTGCATAATTAAGTAAATTGGTGATGCAATATAGTTATAACAGCATTTTATGACTGGAATATAAATCATTTTAATTATTTTTTCCAACAAGTCCTAGTAAACAGATAAAAATATGAGATGATGACGATTGTTACTACAAAATTAATAACTACAGAAGAGTATCCTTTTGTTTTGACAATCAATAAGAATGTTTTTCCTCAAAATTCTTTATTTTTCA